AACAGAACTATTGTAGGCTCAAGCGAACTTTTAGCAAGGGTTTCATTCACAGATTGGTCAGATGTATGGGTGTGAACGAGACGAATATCGACTGTGTCTGGAGATTGGAAATGAACTTTAGAGAGCATTCACTCGGTGTCAACACCTTATTAATACAGCATATTTAATACTTCGAAGTACTCTGTATCGATAACGTTTGTATTTATTAAAATACAATTAAAAAAATACGAACATGACGAAGCAGAACAACTCCCACTTTTTCTCACAATGAAGCTTATAGGAGTTCCTTACATCGGGAAAATTGAGCGTTTAGTGAAAATAAGTTTAAATGTATTGAAATGATTCCTCCGAGTATCATAGACATTGCAGTCGAGTTACTGCAGGTAGAGAGAGACAAAGGGCAGACACCTATTTCAGCGCCGGCAATTGCGAATTTTCGCTCGAGTGCTCGTCGAGCACTTTCCATGCCAGAGGTTTTCGTAGAAACCCGTGCGTCAAAGGCCGAAGCTCACGCTGCTTTGATCGCTTCTGTAAATGAATACGCTACGTTAATGCTTATGCGAGTGGCCGCCGAAATCGCTCGTTGAAGGCATGTAGAGGAATGCCTTACTTGCTCCTGCCCGCCAAGGCATTGAAGTGCATCGTAGTTGTCGTTGCATTGACTGGCGGTCACGTGAGTGATGGCCTGAGGTATTAAAGAGTCTTGACCTAGACGCCCGAAAATTGGGTGACCCATGGCCGGTTTCGTTTCGACAAATCCACTCGAACCTAAGTCATTGAAACGAAGGTTTTCGCGAATCACGTGTACCGTGGAAGTTCTTGTTGTTGAGGGCTCACCTCACGGTGAGGCTCACCTCCAGTCACAAATCGGACAAAGATTACCCCACTTTTCGGCTTCACTTCCAACTCTTTACTCAACTTTTCCATTCAACGATTATATCTTACTTACGCGTTTCAACGGGAAACCGGCGGTGCAACCACTTGCCCAGGTACCGGAAGACGTCCTCCTTCTCGGGCTCCTCGTACACCATGTGGAACAGACCATCAAACAGTTTGAATTCCTTGTCAAAGTTCCCCATCGTGCCGAAAAATTTAATTGCCGCCTGCTGATCGGAAATGCCGTCGGCGGATCCGGCCAGGAAGAGCGTCGGGACGGCGCAGAACGCGCTGTTTGGGTCTGTCACCCGCTTATCTTCTTGCAGTTGGATCATCGCCTGCAGCGACTCGTGTCCCGTGCGAGTTGTCATCATATCCATCGACGTGAGTGGATCCGCCTTGAATCTCCTTAAGAACTTTGGGTCACGGCACAGTAGATCGTGCTGAACGGCAGGCACAACTTTCGCCGTTGGCATAATTGCCGCAAGAGGCTTCGCAAGCTTCGACTCTGCCCAAAGCAGAGGGTTCCAGGTCACACCGACAGTAGGTGAGCCCCACACTGCAGCGGCGAACGTGTGCTCACCAGCAAGAACGGTGTGAAGACCGACAAGAGAGCCGAACGACGTCCCAGCAATGATGAGTGGCAATTCAGGCCGTGAAAACGGGTCCGTGCCGTCCCGTCCGTAATGTTTCCGCCAGTACCGAAGTGCGTCGGTGTAGATGGATCGCTTGGCAAACGTGATGAAGTCGTTCGTGTCGTCGATGAGGTACTGGAAGTTGCCGACGTGCGCGCGGGTCTTGTGCTGATCCAGATCACTCACGCCGTGGTTGAGCAGGTCGTAGGTGATCACACCGAAGCCTTCTCTGCACAATCGCTCGTACAGTTTAACGTTCCGTCGGCAGTGGTCGCCAATGCCGTGCAGACACAACACAACTGCGCGCATCGGCATCTTCTCCGGCGGGAAGAGAGAGAAGTAAAACAGCGTTTGCTTCCGTCGATTGGGGAATCTTCCTTCGTAATGACGGAGACGTAGCGGCATCTGAGGCACACTTATGCGAGGCGAGGGAGTGGATCCAAGCGAAGACAAACTCGATGCAGATGCCGATCGGGGCATCGAACCTTCGCTAGAAGCAGGCTTTGATGGCTTTTTGGGGAGAAGTGAAGTCGATCGCGTTCGTGTCGGGTCTCGCGAGCTCAAAAACTGACGTTGCTGGTCCTTTGCTGACTTGGAAGGCCCCATCAACTTCGGGTTCATGGTGACAGGTGTCTTGGACTCTCGACACGAAGCTACTTGACGCTGTGCAGAGCCAATGTGGGTGCGAGACAGTGGCTTCGGGTTTGACGTTGACCGCTGTCGAGGAGGAGGACTCACGTCTCGAAATGCGCGTACCCGACGGTCCTCATACAGCTCCGTTTCAGACAATGACGCTAGTGTGGAAGATGACTTGTGTCGCTGATCTTCGCCGGAACTTGGGGGCGAAGTATGACGAGGCGTCCGACGGTGCATGCGTTCTTGGTCCGGGTGAGCAGAACTCGAGTGAGAAGTCGACTCTGAACGCGTATTACCACGCTCAGAGTACGGCTCTCGGAACGGCGGCAGCATCTTCGACTGGGATTTCTCACGCGAACTGGAGCGCAGTCTCGACGATTGTTGACGAGATGCCGTGCGTTGATGGAATTCGTACACGTCCTGTGAAGTAGACGAGTGAATGGAGTCCAGTCTCGTCGACGATTTCGCCCTCGGAACTTCGTTTGAAGAACTGGTCGGTGCACTGGGGGTACGGCGGTGGGTACGTTCACGCTTCGCCGCTAAAGAAGGGACAGAGGACGCCTTCGGACGGCTAGAGTGAGGACTTACATGACGACGAGGGGGTCTACGATGCTGGTTGTTCGCTTCGTCCTCCTCAGACGACGAGGAGTACGACGATTTCGAGCGCGGTGTGTACTCTGGCTCCGAGCGTATTCTATGAGACGGACGCTCCTGGTTACGAGAGTCTCGCGTGTGTCTGCTCGTCGACGAGTGGGGTCTTGAACGAGACTCGGAGCTGCGATGATGACGGGATGGCACCTTGGAGCTACGGGGCGGACTCATAGGTCCTCGTGAATTCCTCGAGTACTGGTGTTCGTACCTTTCGTCTACGGATGACGGAGCTGTCGACGCAGAGCTCGACGCTGACCTAGACTGCATGTTTGTAGCTGATTCTGCCTTGGAGACTGGGGATGCTGGACCTGTGGCGGCGCGTGCAGCGGACGGACGAGGTCTCCCGTCTATCTCATCAAGGAAGCTGTCACTGCTGGGTTTAATATCCTCCGGGTGCCTTTCCTGCTCTCCCAGACGCGACTCGCGCATGTGGGCCGGCTCCTCCTCGATGACCGACATCGCAAGCAGGCGGCTGTTGCTGCTGGCGCCCTGCGGCAGCTTCCTGCAGTTGGGCATCGTTTTCCACAATGAGGGAGCGACAAGCGGCTGGTCTTCTGAACTTCCACGCCGAAACCAGGAAGCGGCCATGGACGTGGGTAATCTCCGATAGCCGGAGCCAATGAGGACCAGAGCCACAGCTGAAGATGGAGGTTTCTCAGTGAGTCATGGCGGAAAAAGCCTCGCTCCTGCTTCACGACGAGTTCGCCTGATGCGTTTGTGCCGCGGTGAGCGTTCCCTGCAAGCACCTGGTCGGCCATAGCCCGTGGCAATCGCGGCATTGAGCGTGCACATCTGACGCGTTTTGCGCTCGGATTCCGAGTCGGAGCAACGCAGACAGACACCGGCGTCAACGTGTAGATGCTTACGGCGACTTCCACGCGTGGCGGCGAGACGATATAATCCACATTTTGATCCGTAGTTCTCGTCCGTAGGTTTCTAGCCAGCATTCAAGGCAATGCTCATTGAGGACGAACCCAGCTCTTGGACACTTCGCTGGTCGCGACAGTTGCAACAACCGTCCCACCATGCAAATCCAAAGCTGCAGTTCGGCACATTTTTCAGATCATAAATTATGAAATTTATGATTTCTATCGTTATGATAAAAATGTTAAAATAGCAGTAAATGCTAGCAAAATTATTTTGGGGGAGAAACAGAAACTTGTCCAACAAAATCTGATAAATGGAATGCGAGGAGGTGACAATGACATTGAATACGAGGACACTTTCAGTGCCATATTGTAGTTTATGACAATGAGGTGGGCCTAACGATTAATGATGTTGTACCAGTCCCAGAACAGTCAATTCTTCCGTTCAGCGGCATGTCGGTGCATAAAGTATTAACGTGCCCGCAAGTGGTGAAACATTGCAAGTCGGTGGAATCACCCTACCGCACATCTAGCAATCCTACAGTACCGTTACGGGACTTCGTCGTGTATTCACCGGATTTCGATATCAAGGCAACCTATCCTGACTCGAAAATGACGATGGCAAGCCACGTACACGTTGGGTGGTCGCTGAATGATAAGCTGAGTTCCGATGTTCCAAATCAGCATTCCGAACTGTACTACCGGATAACACGTGAATGCATGCAAAGCGCGTCTAGCGAAAAACTGAGCAAGAACAGCCATCATGCCGTCTTCTGATGTTGCTATTGTACTGTAGATACTTTCTTACTACTCCTTACTTTTGAGATGCATGTCCTTGCATGTAGTGTACTTTATTGTCGGGTCTCAACGGGGAATCTCCGTCGCAACCACTGCGCGAGGTATTTGAGCACATCCTCTTTTTCAGGGTCCTCGTACACGAGGTGAAAGAGGCCGTCAAACAACTTGAACTCCTTGTCCAGATTCCCCATCGAGGCGAAGAACTTGATAGCTGCCTGTTGGTCAGCTATGCCATCAGCTGAGCCTGCGAGGAAAAGCATCGGTACTGCACAGAATGAGCTGTCTGGATTGGAGACTCGTTCGTCTTCTTGGAGTCTGATCATGGCCTGCAGCGATTCGTGGCCGCTCCGGGAGGTCAGCATGCCCATGCTGGTTAGTGGATCCGCTTCGAAGTCATCAAGGAATCCAGGATCTCGACATAGGAGCTCGTGTTGCACTGCAGGCACGACCCTCGCTTTAGGAAAGAGCGTAGCCAGCGGGACAGCGAGTTTCGACTCGGCCCACAGTAGCGGCGTCCAGGTTACGCTGATCGTCGGCGAGGCCCAGATCCCGGCGTGGAACTTGTGTCGTCCAGTGAGGACGGTGTGAAGACCGATTAGCGACCCGAAAGACGTACCGGCGATGATCAATGGCAGTTCGGGAGCGACCTTGTAGTCTTTGTGCCGGCCGTGCGGGTGGTACGGATGGTGGTGCTCTCTCCAGTATTTGAGCGCGTCGCAATAGATGGATTTCTTCGCGAACGTGATGAACGCGTTGGTGTCGTCCACGAGGTATCGGAAGTTGCTGATGTGTGCTCGCGTCTTGTGCGCGTCGAGGTCACTGGCCCCGTGGTTCAGCAGGTCGTACGATATGACACCGAATCCTTCTTCGCACAGTCGTTCGTACAGCGGAATGTAGCGTCGGCAGTGGTCTCCAATTCCATGTAGACACAGCACGACACCCCGCATAGGCATCGGCTCTGGTGGGAAGAGGGCAAAGTAGTAGAGCGACTGCCCCCTTCGGTTCTGGAATTTACCCTCGTACGGGCGTAAGTACGGCGGAATGTGGCGTGAATGCCCTAATGACGAGCTAGACGACGACGACTTCGACGATGACGATTTCGACGCCGTCAATGGCGACAGATCCTCCGGAGATGCCGACGCCAGCGTCATAGCGACGATCGATGCAGGCCCAGGCCCCGGCTCGAGCTTCTTCGCCATCGGCCACTTGACCGGAATTTGCTTGTGAGATGCCGAGCGATGCACAGTTCGCGTTGGCCGGTTGTTGAGTTTGTCACTCGACGGCCGAACTGGCGGAACGGGTTGGCCTCGGCAGTTCACCATTTTTTTCGAGAATGACAGCGAACTCAAGGAAACCTTCAGCTTAGGCATGATTGTGTTGCAGCCGGTGCCGCGTGACTCGCTGGCGGGCATCAACCGACCGAGCTCCCTGGAAGATGCAGTCGCCAGAGAACGAGCGGTGTTTTGGACAGCCATTTTCGAGATCAGACGTAGCGATCGTGGGATCCTGGTGCCCGTGCATCAATGGCGACGGTGGTGCAAGCGATTTGACCGAGGCGGCCTTGGTTCCTTCGCGAGTTGTTTGAAGGCATGGGAACCTGGCGCTGGCTGGACGAGCAGCACAAGCATGGTCACTCCTTAGTAGCGATCGAAGCACTCCAACTTGTTTTCCCCACTACTGTCGGAAGCTAAGCCTTATCGCGTGGCCACAGTTTTTAGTTGAAAAAGCACTGCTCGCCGAGCAGAACTGTGCCGTCACATGCGTACCGCTTGCTAGCCGGACCGAATGGGTCCACAACGTGTGGGGCCTGCGCAAGTCGCTGCGGGCGGACACCATAGTAACGGTGACGCTCTGAGTCAACTGCCCTTGCATACGGACAACCATCAACCTGCTGTCACCGCAGTTTCCGGCGACTGCCTCAACTCAAGCATCTTGGCCATCGGTTTGACCGCAACGGGAAATCGTTTCGATGGGGAAGATACCGCTGGTCCGAATACAGGGCAGAGATCGGATTCCTTTTCTTCGCCTCCTCTACATGTGCATGGCATAACCTGCTGTGCAGCCTGCAGCGCGTGCCATTTCCCAAAGTGAGCTCAAGCTCAACAACCGGCCAGACCAGGAAACGCCGCTTTGAGACCAGCAGGGCTTGCGATGACTACAGCTCTGCTGTACGAACGAGTATCAACATCTCTCGTGTTTTGTCGTAGCACGTCGATAGTAGATATTCATGAAAACTAGGCTGGTAAAATAAAACTGTTCTCAGTTTAGCTAGTACCCGATTCGGGTCGACATTATTGTACGAACGCGTCCCCGGCGCAACCACCGCAGCAAGTAGGCCACTACTTCGTCTCGTTCCGGGTCCTCGAACACGCAGTGGAACACGCCATCAAAAACCTTAAACTCCTTCTCTGTGTTTGCCAGTCGGTTGAAGAATTGCCGCGTCACGTCTTGATCCGCGATGTGGTCCTCAGAGCCCGTAAGGAAGAGCATCCGCAGGGCACAAAAGTTGCTGCCGAGCTGTTCAACTCGCTTGTCACGCATCAGCCTGTTCATAGCGTCCATTGTCTGATGCATGGTCCTGGCTGTGATATCCTCCGTTGTCGCTAGCGCATCGGACTTGAAATCTTCAAGGTCTCCCGGGTCGCGCCACAGCATTTCGTAGTCCAGTGGCGCCACGAGGCGAACCTTGGGCACTAAGAGTGAGAGCGCATGAATCACCTTCGCCTGCAGCTTCCACGCCGTCGACATCTCCATCCCGACGGTTGCACCGCCCCAAAAGGCCGCCTGGAAGTCGTGAACCCCCGACAGCACCGTGTGCATGCCCAGCAATGCACCGAATGAGGTTCCCGAGATGATCATCGGGGGCGTCCAGGTCTGGCTGCTAGCGGAGCTGTGGGAGCCCGTCGGCGAGCCAAATTGAAGCGCCTTGACCTGAGAGAAGATGGACCTTTTGGCGAACGTGACAAAAGCGTTCGTGTCCTCCACCAAGTGTCGGAAGCTGCGCACGTGGCCGCGTGTCTTGGTTGAGTCGCAGTGGCTCGCGCCGTGATTTACCATATCGTAGGCGATGACGCCGAAACCTGCCTCGCACAGCCGCTCGTACAGGAAGACGTACCGGCGGCAGTGATCACCTGAGCCGTGGAGGAACAGCACGACGCCCTGCAGTGTCTGAGTTTCTGGCGGGAACAACGCAAAGTAAAAGAGAAGCTGGCTACGCGCGTTGATAAAGCGGCCCTCAAGGTGCTGCAGCGCCGGCGGCATCAGCACCGCGTACGCGCCGTACGACGGCGACGTCAAGTCGATTTCGGCGGCGCTCATCGATGTCCTCAGCTATTCAGAAGTGAAAAAGTGCTGGTGGAAGAAGGTGGGGGACATGAACGCATAGCAGCAAACGAGCCGACCAGCTCCGACCTCGAAATGTGGTGGTGGAAGAAAGTGGTGGAAGCACGGTCTCACGTGAAGTTCACAGTGAACAGAGCACCGTGGGATCGCCGTTGTCGCATTGCAACAGAAGGATAAGGCGTAGCTTCTCGTCCGCAGCTTGCTACATGTATAAAGGCGATCAATCGATGAGGTTCATTGAGCAGCGGCAGCAGCGAGGAAGAAAGTGGTGGCCGTCTCCAGTGCGCTGGATAACGCCCATCCAGCAAATACATGGCACTCGCCATTGCACTGAGCATTGTCTCCAGCTGTTCGTACCGGTGATGTAACAGTCGCTGCCGTGTTCAAGGCGGAATAAGATTGAAGTGACCGCCGGAGATCTCCGATCTTGTAGCAGTGGCAGTGCTCGCCCACGGTGGCAAGGCCTCGCGGTCTTTGCCACCGTAGCGTCCAGCCCGCCAAGTTGACCCAACGTCGGAAGCTGTTGCTCAGCGTGCTGTACAATCGGTCGGCGCGAATGCTTACGGGCTGGTGCTTTCGCATGCCACCAACATAGCGACGGCACAACGCCAGAGAGTGGAGATTGTGGACAGCAGCAGAAGCGCCCCACAGAGAGCGAGCAGCGTGCGTCGAGTGGAGATTTGCCTGTCCGAGCTCCAGTGCATTCAGTGCGCCTCATTCGTTGAGTCTCCGATAAAGACGCGCCCCGTGAAGAACACGCCACGGTCGACTTGAACTGAATTGTTCGTGTCCAGCGTCCAGCGTCCAGCGTGGCATTCAACATTCCGTCTCGGGGTGGAGCGCTCACTGAACGCTCACTTCTTAAGCTGCAACCAAAAGGGCGGGTGCGTTGCTGCAGTGGGTAGCTGAGGTGTCACCTATGTCGGCAGCAACGTGGGCGTCGCCGTCGTCCTCCTCGTCGGGGTCGCTCGGCAGCTCCTTCGGCGTGCACGTGCCGCCGGGCCTTCAACACTTTGAAGGCCGGTTCCAGAACCTACGCGGTCAATCGCTTTTCTACTTCTCGCTTTACCCTCCGTCCAAGCGCGCACTGCGCGGCGTCGTGCTGTATCTGCACGGCGCGGGTGATCACTGTCGCCGCTACATCTCATTGTACGAACGCCTGTGCGAAGCAGGTTTCGGCGTGATCACGTACGATATGGTGAATCACGGCGCCAGCGACTGCGACGGTCACAAGACGCGCGGTCATGTGCGCAGCTTCCGCCAGCTCGTGGAGGACACAGACGCCTACGTCGCGTTCGCTAAGAACGCCATCTTCCCGCAAACCAGCCTGTTGACGCCACCCTTGATCATCGCCGGCACGTCTTTCGGCTCACTCGTGGCGCTGCACGTCGTTCTCTCGGGACAACATAAATTCTACGCCGGGTTCTGGGCTGGGCCAACAGTTGGTATGGAGATGTCGACGCTCTGGAAGGTTCAGGCGGCATTCATCCAGCCTTTGGCGTTGCTACTGCCTCGGGTACGTCTTGTACCGGGCGTCGACTACGAGCTGCTGTGGCGAGATCCCGGTACTTTAGAAGACTTCAAAGCCGACGCATTGGCGACCAAGAGCGACATCACCGCGAGGACGATGCAGCAGACACTCAGTGCCATGCACCGATTGACGAAAGACAAGAGCATCAAGCAAGCCGGAAGCGGTTTCTGCGCTCTAAGCGTGCTGTTCCTGGTCGGGTCGGAAGACCACATTGCGGATCAGGGCGTGACGAGAAAGTTCTACGACAAACTGGCCAATATGGACAAACAGTTCAAGGTGTTCGACGGCGTCTTCCACAGCGTCTTCGAAGACCCTGAACGGGACGAAGTCTTCGCCTTCCTTTGCCAGTGGCTACGGCACCGCTTCCCGGAGCTACACAACAATAAAACCCCTTGAGGCCTCGTGTCCTAATAGACATCTCGCCTCTCAAAAGCTCCAGACAGAGCTAACCACGTATATAAAACAGTAGTCGATAGGATTCCTTCATGAAGGCATGCATGTTCATGCACAAATGATCTGCCTCGCAGACATGTATAACATCAAATTGGTCCACCACTTCCTGTCCCTATCTTTTACGCTTGATCGATCTAAAGTTACCTCCTTCGTCGTAGTTCTGCATGCTCACGTAGTTTCTTGGCCAAGATTCGAGCATTCTGCATGATCAAGATTTCGCCTGGTTCATTCAAATGCACCGATGCATCCTTAGCTCTTGCCACGAATTCTTCCAATACTGGAGGTGGAGTCAAGCTACTAAGTCTCTTTGCGTTCGAGATAAAGGTCGCACGTGTGAGAGGATCAGTGCAGCGTTTGCTCGCCGCTTTCATAAATTTCTGCTCCACCGTGCCTAGTACACCACTCGCCGTGCCTGCATTGAGCAGACGTTGTTGCGCTGCAAAGTGACGCTCTGTATCTCGCTGTTTAGCTCGTGCGCGTAGCCAAACTTTCACTAGTATGGCTGTAGCTGTTGTGAGTCCAATACTGAGCCATCCAAAGTAAATCATGTTAAGCGATCGAGTACTGCTTTGTCCAGTATACTGGAGTCGATGAATAGCGCCCAGCGAGGCCCAACACGACGCCGCGTATATGCTGCACTTGATGTACTTGATGTACCAAAGGGAACAGCTATGCATCGCCAGTGTGAGGACCAATAAGACTGCATTCCCCACAGCACCGAGACTAGCGAGAAGTATGGGATTATGAGGGAAGAAACCTTGAGCTGTGGCTGCTGCTGCCTTCACCAGCTGCACTACGAGGATCAATACAGGGGCATATTTGATATCCAACGTCTCACGTTGGAATAACACTTGACTCATACCATGTGCTAACAAACCGATAGGCAGGAAGAAAGTGATACCCCAGAGTCCGAGAAGCGCATACCATTGATGTTCAGACGTCCAACACGTGATGTCTTTATGTGCAATCAAAAACGGAGGACAGTTCGGGTCCTTATTACACTTTTCGTACTTGGAAGCATGCTTGTCCGAGCAGTCCATACAAGCGAGATACGAGAAAAAGACCGAGATCGTGCTCATGTAGAGAAATCCATGCACCAATGCAGGTAGATCTTTGGTCAATATACGATGCAGTAGAGCACTCGTTTCTCGAAATTTGTTGGCACATTTCAGTAGTAAAAACCAGAAAAGCAACAACAAGAGAACTCCAAGTGCTTCTAGTTCTGAGACTGATGTGAAGCCAAACTTTGTGATCCCCTGGTTTCCCAGCCATTCGATAATTGCCGGAAGTTCATCAGAATCATCCCATTCCACGGCTGAGTCAAATGTTAGAGAGTTAAGTTGCACGAGTTCGACAGCAATGGCAGTCACAGCCAACGCGTTTTGGTAGTAGCGGGACACTGGCCGAAGACGCAGTCGAGTCTGTTCCAGCAGCACAAAGCGATCTAGTCGAGCAGAGTTAGTAAATTTACAAAATAGCAACAAAACGAATAATGACGTACTTACTTTGGGCAATTAGCGCGATAGAAACTACGGATAGTAGAAAGATCCCAATGCCATAGCCGTATACTATCCGCGTCATGAAAATATTGCGCTTTGACACATCATCGTCAAAAGCTACGGTCGGTAACCACAGCGAGATTACAACGCTAAACAATGTCCCAATTAAAGCGTAATACCGTTCCTGCCATAACTGAAGACCCAGTCTACCACACGTAGGCATCCAAACACGCACCAGCTCTCCTAGACCCTTTTTGGCGTGATAAAAGCGGTAGTATTCATCTCGCGCATGAGGATCGTTAAATGCTTTAGCCATAATTGGATCTTTTAAGTCCATTCGAAGTTCTTCTTGACGCCAAAATGCGATCAATAGAATCAGTCGAGCTCCGATCAAGATAATTCCATGGAGTATTCTATCAAGAAGACTGGCGTGCTGGTCGTAACGATATTGAGCTGATCGGTTTGACTCACGGAACCTCGTTATACTTTTAGAGTTTCTCCTACTCGTTTGAGCCTCAAGCTTTCGACGGAGTAGAACCATTGCCGAATCGTCGGAGAAGGGGTCAGGATTGAAAATTCCATCACATACTTTCAGTGTGGACCGAGAAATCACTGCTTTTAGTGAAGGTGCAGTGTTCCACGGTCCTGTAGCTGCAGCAATTTGTACCGGTTCTTCCTGGACTATTTGATCAGCTCCAATTCGTTGTTTTTCCTTTTTCAATGTACCAAAGAATCGCGAAAAAGCAGAGTCTTTTTCTGGCTTTGCAACGAGCTGCTTTGTACGACTTTCCTCTTCACTACTGAGTTCATCTTGCGTTCTGTTACGGATAATGGGTCGCTGTGGTGAAGCTTGGCAATATGTTTCTAGTATTACTCGACGTTTGGTAGGATCACAGTGTACAAATATCTGCGCTTGGTGGTACAAGTGAATGAACCGCACGCGCTGTATCGGACGCACCATCAAGCGCCACAAACTCATTTCCACTTTGTCGTGAGAAACAGAAGGTAGATTATCGAAAGGCATTTCGTTTTCCAATGTCAATTGTTGCAGTTGATCCAATAGGGTGAGCACTTTCTTCTTCTCTTCAAGTTCATGAAATTTTTCAGCCAGTTCAAGTGTCGTCATTCTTTCAACAGCTTCTTCTCCCATACCAAAAGCGTACGTAAGTACCCCAATAACAACATTTTTGTTTTTTGGAGACTGAAGAAGTAGTTTTGTTCGCTTTGCAGTGATTGATTCCAAACCAATGTGATCCAAAAGCAACTTGAAAGAGGCAAACGGGAAAGGTGACGAAATCTGGCGAAAATTCTTACTAGTGGCACCAAGATCATCGCGTTCACTAGTACTTTGAGACGATAGGCCAGTGCTCGCTGAGTCTATCACCCGAGAGAGATTTAGTAACTCGGACGGACCATCGAATTCTTTAACTGTAGAAGTTTTGTGCCGGGCTCGAAAAGTTGTCATCGGTCGTCGTAAAGCGCGAATAAAACTCATAAATTTCTCTTTCATTTTCTTCAAAATGCTGACTGCTTCTCTTGAGCTCGCCATCGTCTTTTCAAGGGAAGTATCCCCCATTATTCGCCGCCACATATACTGCATTGCTATCAGCATTCTTGAGAGATTATCCATCCCTTCTTTAGATTCTAAAAGAGCAGCTAGTGATGTGGAAATATGGACATCTAATTTACGGAGGCGTTCTCGAATAGGCTTAGTTTGATCCACAATTCCTGATCCATTGGCGGCCACTACCCTCAACTCGTTTCGATTTGTGGCACGCTTTAATAGTCGATGCAAATTGTCGAGGAACAGCATCAACGCTTGTTGTCTTGAGTGCGTCCCCATGCGCTCTATTTTACGTAGAAAAATCGGTAAATCCAAGATAAGAGAACGGAACTGACGTGCTATCTCTATATAATACGTCGCATCGAGCTCGTGTAGCCCAGAGCAGAGCAACCCAGCTAACTGTTCGAGTAAGAGAAGCCATTCCAGAAAAAACTTCTGCTCGTCGTTGCCAATATTGACAATAGCGCTCATTCTTCTCTGATAATTGCGCTTAGTTTTTTTCTTTTCATTCTGCAGTTTCATGGCCGTGTCAATGTAAAAATCAAGAGCGAGACTTGCCATTGAGTGGAAAGCCATCAACACTCGCGCATTCTGGGTCGCAACGCGAATTGCTGAGGTCAAAGCCTTTTTACGGTTTACAGTCAAAACGGACAATAATTCGGAGTGTTCATTGGTGAACAAAATGAGCTCTCGGAGCTCTAAATCAAATTTTGAGTCTTCCGCTTGAAAGAATTTGCTTGGAGACGTAGCGAGGTTTTGCTCGTGGCGTAGAAAAGAACGATGACGATGCGTTTTCTCGCTTTCCCCGATCTGATTTTTGTGCCATTGCAAACTTTCACTTGGTAAAAGATGTTCTTGATCGAAGCGTTGAAAAACTCCGCTACATTGGGGAGGGATGATTCCAGTCCGAACTCCCGCTCGGATACTGGAGTAGTAGGTTAGTCTAAGCGCGTTTAGTTCACTTTGGAAATCATAACGCGTTAGGTCGATACATTTCCTCATGCCAACGAGACATTGCTCTTCAAAAGCTTTTGCGATGGTTTTACCCTTTTGTTGGTATCGTGAGTCCAATAATTGGAGAAACGTTTGTTCAAATATTTTTCGAGAGGATAATTTCTCCACTAGAGCTTCAAGAATTGATGCTGCTAATCGATCATAGCTATTGTAAGAAATTTGGCCGTCGATGACTCCGCTAGTATCAATTCCATTACTTGGAGTTCTACCAAGAAACATCAGAAGAGTCTCAGCAATGGTAAGTTCATCTTCAGCAACGTTGGAAGCAGAAAATAAGGCTTCATACCGCAAAAATTCTCGAGTATCTGCGTGGACAGCTACAAATGTAGGCAGCCCGTCGAAAAAGAAGCTACAACTAAGTATCAAATTCTCTACCGCTCCAGTAGAAAATTCATCAGCCGTTGGATGGCGACTAAACATTTCGAAAGATATTCGCGAGAAAAAGTCAAGTGCGTTCATCAGGTTGTCACCAATTGGGCAGCGCGTCAATCGTACAATTACTAGAGAAGCAAAGTAAATCAAACTACTCCGCAATTCAGGCTGAGCAGTACTTTTCTGGATACCAGCGTCGAATACTGACCGAAGTAGCGTCTGCGCTGTCGGCGTTAGAAACGTTTGGCAGTGCACTACGTTTCTTCGAATTGCAATCGCCACTAGTGATAGGAACGTCGTCTCTGAACTTTGTTCTGAATTGAATTGGCCACATAAGCAAAGCAGCAAGTCCGAATTCTCGATGAACAAAGTATTCAACGTGTTTGCAGTAAGATCGCGGATTTCCACATCCCCTACGAGCTCGACAATTTTTTCCAAAAAGCTGGAACTTCCAGAATCACTGCCCAACACGCTTTCGTGCTCAACTTCGCTTACACACACTAACTGACGAAGTTTCTGGATGAGATTTAAGACAGGAGGGATAATTGCTTTAAAATTGCTGACCGTTGGTTTAGTAGGAAACCACGTAGTCAAGTTTTCCAAGGACATAACATCCATTTGCCCAATAGGAGGGAACTCTACAGATCTAGCGAGGACTACCAATATCTGGAATGGCAAGTCAACAATGGGATCACGAAATATACTGTAGTCCTTGCAAAATTCGGCAACAATGCCCGATAACGCTTGGAAAAATTCAACACTTATATCTTGTCTCAGTAATCGTGCCAAAATACCAGTCGACGATGTACTCGGTTGCAGCTCCTCTTCAGAAAATCGTAATTGTACTGAGTCACAACGATGACAGACGGACCCAATTCCCCGAGAGAATTCAAATTTTCTTTCTTCGTACCCAGTGAAGACGTTACAACGAACAATTCTTGCAGCTGGATCCACCAAAAACTCGTGGTAGCCAGATTCATTTCCACTTTGTAGCGTTGCTTGATACTCAAACTGGCGAAGCCTTTTTCCGCTTTGATCGACGATTTCAAATCTCATTTGAACCAGGCGAAAGCTGCTCTGTCGCGGTGAACACTTGGGATCTCCGTCCAGATGTATTTCCAGTCGAAATCTGTGGAATTTACAGAGCAATTGCTTGTTCTCTTTGAGAAATTCACGATTTGGTTTCTTGTGTCCCAATCCTACAAAAAGAAACTGGGCCAGTTGCTGCTGAGCACTTGGGTAAAACCCAAAGACACCGTGGACAGCAATACTCGATAGGGTGGCAAGTCGCTGAATGACCGCAGCCGCTAGAAGCTGTAGGGTATCCATTTCAAGCCACGATTCTAAGCGGAAAAGCAGCGATGAGTCACATATCAATAACGTTTTGACAGGCTCCTTAAGTGCCAAGGCTTGAATCAACTGCGCGGCTGCGTTCTGCTCGGCATCAGACGTTGAACACTCGACAATCATCATCAAAATCTGCATCTGCTGGGGGTTTGTGAACACTTGTACAGACGAGGTGTGTGGTAAGTCAAGAGAGCACAACAATTGTACTAGTGTGAGAGATCTGCTGCGAATCTGACTACTAGAGACAATGCACGAACCGCCACAACGTTGGCAGAGTGAGAGAAGAGACTGCAGCAAAAATGAGTGCTCTTGTTCTTCCGATTCTCCATTATCATTCTTGTAGACGACGAAGTGATAGTTCGACACGGAATATAGTAGAATTTCAAGAATACTCGCGACGAACTTCTCGTGATCGTCACGTTGGGTGATTTCTGTAGTTTCCAGTTCTTGTGTGAAGTGTTCAACCTCTTGAACGTCGCTGAGTAACGTCAAGTTTACGGAGTAAAAGCGTAACCAGCGCACTAAAAGCACAAAACTAGGTGGGAATCGAGAGGAGGGTGCAACACGAACTATCTCCTGTGTGTCCAGGGTGTAGAAGAACTCAAGATGTCGGTAGTCACCCTGGCTACACATATATCGTGTGACGTCTGCTTCCTCATCTTCTGGATCATAACAATCGACATCGCAACGAATCAAGGCACTGAGTGCAATTGCTGCGTTATTCGCAACTTCCAAGTTCGATGTTGCAATGCACATAAACAGAGTTCGTAGTAGATCCAATTCTGTCTCCAAAGACTCAGCAAACTGGCAATCGGATGCACAAAGCTGCACAAGTTGTAAAGCCAGCACTGTTGCTTTAATGTGAAACTCCGTCGGGAAATGAAACGGGAGGAAATCGACAGGATTGCTAGTGGTTAGAACGATTGGGCGGAGATAACTGCTCGAGGATGTTGATGAATGAAGGCATTGCTGGAGTACTTCTAAGAGTACACTTACCATGGGCCAGCAGTCTATCATATTTCGTGCTCTGATGAGAATATCGATGCTCTGTCCACAAATTTTGACAACGATTGTCAGAACGAGTATGAGATCAGCTAGACTCTTTCCACATTGCAGCAACATCTCCGACACTGCGCAAAGCCGCTCTGAGCCTTCATCTGATAATTCCAAGGGATACAAACGACATGCCTTCCATATACCTGGTAACGTTTGCTGGTGCATCGCAAGGGCATACAGAACTTCAGTGGCATTCCACTTTGTTTCGTTCATCTTTAAGATCGAGGCGATGGTACAAATACACAACTCGGCTAGGATATCCATTGCTGAAATCGCTTTCTCGAAACACTGTGCATGATCGGAGAAGTTTGTTGCGCGGAGTACCGAGGAAACAAGACGTAGAAAGCTCGTACTGGCGGGTTCTTGTAGGAGATCCGTGTTGAGCTGGTCGCTTTCTAAGACGACGAAACGTTCCAAAAACTCCCTTTCCATGATAGCTAAAGCGTTGGAGCGATTGTAGCACAACTCGAATAGAAGCGAATACCACAACTCTCGTTGCCCAACCTTCACGTTATTCTTTTTTGTAGAAACATCCCACCATAGAACTTCAATCAAATCCAATTTACAGATATTCGATACAAAGGATCGGTAATTATCGCTAGTTGGTTCGCGTAAGAGCTGCAACATCATTTTCGACACTTTAAGGTGGACAGCCTCTCCATGGAAGGTGGCAAACATTCTCGTCAAAATTCGCCAGTACGGTGGGAAGTTAAACACAGGCTGAAGTGACTCGTTATGCCCGCAAAACGCCAAGAAAGGCATAGCAAGCGAACTGAGGATAAATGCCTTGGTATCTCCACCCTCGCAATTGCAACAAACACTGGAATTCATCCACGACGAAACACACATTATACCGTACGGCTGCACCGGTAACTCTATCTCAAGGTAAGCACTAAGCTTCGTAAGACTGGAAAGAACAAGTAATTCGAGTGGCGATGATTTCACCAAAATGCCAATAAAGTCTTGAAAATATCCACTCCCGGAAGCTTTAACATCGTCAACGTTGGGGTCACAAATCACTCTCGAGGTATCAACTATCCTCAACAATGAATCATGCAACCGAAATAGTAATTCACTTGGAAAATCACGACAATCACAAGCATCCAAGATGTTTATCAATGATTTAGTTGCTATCACCAAGCGGCTTTCATCGGCTTCAGGTTTGCCAGTATGTGAACTCAATTCTTCGAGAACACAGAGCAATAGATCATTCCAACACTTTCCACCACTATCTACGACCCGATCACGTAGTATGTGAATTAATCCTGGTAAAAGGTCCAGTAGAAGCACTCGACAATCTGAATTTACTGTGGCAATTCTGCCCAATTGGTCCAAAAGTTGTTCCGACAGGAATGACTTTTTGAGAATTGCGTCCTCACTTGCCAGCAAAACGTTTAGTAAATCGAACTGGCACTTGTTTTTCGGATGCTCACAGCCTCTTACAAGGGCTGTGACGATCTCTGGATCATTGGCTATGTACGCACTCAGTGTGTCGGAGCAACACAAGTGTACCAGTGCACCCACCGATAATTTAGCTGTAGACGCATCACTTTCCGAAGCAGTATAGTTGAGTGTTGCGTTGTGTAGCAAGTTAATCAAACACAACGCGATGTGCCTTCCTCTATCATCCCATTCAAGCGCGATCAAAGCGCCTAATTCTTTCCCAACATGACAGCGTAAAATCTCCAGAGCATATTTTGTGGTTTCCGTGTGGGAAATAAGTAGAGGATGCAGAAAATATGCACAACTTATTTCCCAGATCTCTTTCGTCAAAGATTGATCGACGTCCCCAACCATCCGAACAATGAAATAAATCGTTCTTAGACGATCACACCAGATCAGCGCACCATGCCTCGATGCAGCCACTCGGAACTTCCGGCATAGTTCACTGAAGCCACGACGTGCAGCATATCTGGCATTTTCCAACGAAAACTCAATAACTGAGTTGTACAAGCGCAGACAAAGCACTATAATATTCGAAGAGTTGGAACCGTCCATCGTGTCTTCGGCGACTATGATCGATCGTAGCAGCTCCATCAAGTCGCCGTCACCGTGTTCCCTTAGAGCAACAACCTCAGCACTTCCCCCAATGTTCTTGTCTAAGTAAGATCTCATGCCTTCTACAATGACACATTGAAATTCTAGTTTCCACGGCTCCGAGAGAAGATCTATACAGCTCTTCAAGAAGTGTCCGCGTCGAGCTACCAGACGATATGAACGCAGCACACTATTGCGGCCAACTTCATCTGCCGCTCTCAGCAAGGTGGTAATTAGGTGTAAAGAGTCTTCTTGCGCGGTAATCCAGAGTTCATTATCTCTTTTCACGCCTAAAGTCGCAATAGCTTCTTGGAAAAGAGTTCGACACATGAGCGGATGAATAGACTCGGAATGAAATAATGCTGTTCGAATATAAGGGATTCTAGAAAGGTAGAGCACGAATCGTTGACTCTGAAGAATGACGCCGATTCCAATCAATTCCTCATCCAAAGATCCTTCATTATTTTCCTTCCACTTATGTGCGGATAGAGAACTCGTTGTAATACGCGAAGCAACATTTTGTACTGTCTCCCTCAGCAGTAAGTTCCCAGTTAGCATCTTTAATGTAGCATGGACAAGATCCACTACTTCACTCGTATCTGTCGTTAAAGTCACTTGGTTAAGCGTCAGTTCTGCCAGCAACCCCAGTAAATAGCATTTCAATCGCATCGAAGACGATGACAATTGCAAGATCCTGATGGCTAGATGTATAACCTCAATCCACTCATCTGTCCAGCGATCCACGGAGACCACAAAATTATCAGCATTATTTTGGAGTTTTACCAGCAGCCACAAGAAACGAATAGCGTAGCATACAAAACTTTCCTCCTTCCCACGAGCTACAACACACGCTTGTAATAGTAGTGAGATTTTAACGTGAGCTAAAGCTGCTTTAACTGCACTCATGCGATGTCCATCAGACTGGACACTTGTTGCTTCTTCCCACTTCTCCAAAAGAAAGCACATAAATTTCACCCATTGTATCGGGCGTTCAAAGTCAATGTCATCCGTTGCATTGTGTAGTGAAGCACATATGTGCGCTATCACGCCTGAAAATTTGGGGTGAACAGTGAGCTCTTGGACGATCGAATGATGCTCAGTCAATCTTATCGCCACTGACAAGGACAGCGTCTGCATCTTACTTGCAACGGCTAGTACTCGATCTCTTTTGGAGGCGCGATTGAGGTTTAGTGCGTTAATGGACGGGCTTTCGTTTGGTTCAAATAGTATCCATTGGTACATCCAAGTGAGAAATGAACTACTAGCTTCAGTTCCATTGAAATACATCGCCCACAACATATCCAGAAAGTTTTGTGAAGTCACCAAAACGTCCAAAAGTGTCGTATAACTTTCCAGAAGCCGTAGCAATTGAATGTTATCATTAGCCATTGAATAAAACTGCGAATTGAGTTCATAGCCAGCCACAAAAGTCGAGATCTCTGCTTCGTTCAACGCTTGAAGATAATCATTTCCCTCGCCGCTCACAACGCGACGCAGTACCTTTACCACAGATTGTAAAGCTACGATCATTCCATCGTCAAAAGTTTGAGTTCGTGAAGCAAATAATTGAATAATGTTCAGAGCTATTGTCATGAGATTCTTGGACTCAAAATGCTCGCTTTGTTCCGATACAGAAGTGATCGCATCAATGCAAGAAAAAATAGCTTGAATTTCCAAAGACTCAACAATAGTGTGGCATTGCAAGTGGCTTTCTAGTTCTGCCAGCGCTGTGACAACAATACTGATAAAACTTCCCGTCTTTTCATCAGTATGGGCCGACGCTGCTGCGAGGTTATAGTTGGAACGTGTATCGGTGCATATACTTCCAACACAACGAAGCACAACGTGAACCTGAAACAAAAATCAAATAACATTGTGAGGATGTGGCAATATCCATGGAGTAAAATTTGCGTACCGAATGCCTTTCTCGAAGTTCGTGAACCTGTTCAAGAAGCACTAGCAATATGCCAAATTGATTTTGAATGGCATGACGAAGTCCTAGATCCAATTGAGTTTTGATACCACCGGTGCATATCTTGTAGATAAACGTGCAGTAAACTTCGAGATCGTTACTACTGCCTGCGTCAAAGCAGCCGCTAATCTCCGCTGTCACAAGTTCGAGAATCCCATCAAACACATCAGATGAAATGATCACGTGCTCCCAAATTTGTTCACATAGGACGTCATCATTGCTGAGTGCATCAAACAACTGGAGCATACCGATAACATTCCCACTGCGTGTTCGAGCGAGAGCGCGCGCTATCGTCAAGTGCAAATCCAGATCATATCCACACCGAAGTAGAAAATCCACGCGATGAGGAATACCACAACTTAAATGGTATCCAACCACCTCAGGTGTCCCTTTCTGGTCGGATCGCAGCAACGCTACGCAATCACGCAAGTATTTTACAGTCCAAGTGCTCTGTAGATTCGTCCAAAACGCAGGTACAGAGCTCGCGACTTGAGACTGGATGAGAAAAAATCTCTCCAGAATCTCTGGATGATTTTCCCATAATCGAAGCTTGAATCGATTCACAAATTCAGCAACTGGGTGCCAAAGACTCGTAACAATTTCCTTCGCATTACCAGACTCCGTAAGTTTTGTCCAGAATCGTTTGGTACGGGTCTCCGTTGCTGTCAATGCAGCGATCACGGTCAATGCGTTAAGTACTACATCAGCGGGTAAGGCACCCAATGCAACGTCTACAAGAACTCCAATAGCCCAGTTATCATTGAGCAAGCTTTCGACGAAAGCATCGGCGGTGATGAGTTGAACAATGAGAGCTGAAGCGGAGCATTGGAGATGGCGTTTCCCCGACGTTGGTACCGGTAAATTATCATGACTCATTAAACGCAAGATAGCTTGGACGTCGCCATCCGCATAGGCGTGGCTTAGTCGATTATTCACGATATTTAGAGCAGGTTCTGGTAGTTCGGACTCCAACACCTCAAGCGATATGATAGCTCCAAGTAGTCCACATTTGTGCACGGCAAAGGTGTTTGAAGATTCTCTTTGCAACCAATGTGGATAGCCAAGTAAACCTCCTCTGGTAACTGTACCTCGAACCACTTCTTCGGATTCTGCCAAATGCATTTCAAACTCGACGCTTTCATCAAATACTAAAAGCAACGGCAAATGCTGCATTGTTGCAGGTTCATAGATCGGAAATTCAAGAGGATTACCCAAGCGAAATGCCACGTTCGCTAGAATATCTCTCGGAACACCTTCAAAGAGAGGTGATTCCTGCAATAACAGCAACAGATCAGACAGCTGTCGTGTTTGCATTTGCTCGAATACAACACGTTCAGAAATCCTCTTTGTATATGCCACACGACGAATAATTTCCGCCCGAACCTCGACTAGAAGCCTCCCCAGACGCACAACAAGCCCGTTACGTGCTCGTAGTGAGCCGCAACACATCGCAGAATCATCAATATACGTCTTCAGTAACCTATTCAATCTCACGGCTACACGTCTTCGTGTTGCTACCGAAGTATGAGTTATGTACGTCTTCTGGTCAATTGCGTACATGGAAAAGTTTGCCTTATCCTGTAGAGCTCCAACAAATCCATCAAACCGCTTTTGAATACGCTTCATAACAGCTGCGAAGGAGGTCATCGAAGTTTTACTGTACTGTGCGATCATCCATTCTGGAACTGAACTAAAACGACCGTCACCAACCAAAATCGTCCAGCAATGTGACTCAGGATGTCGGCATTGTCTAAAGCCTAGTGATAATTTCACCAGTTCTGTAGTGTTCAGATCCGTGAAAAAGGGAACGAAAGAAATATGTGCGAGTAGCACCACACAGTCTTGTGATAATGGTGGAGTGGGTAGATACTTATTCAGCTTTTTCCCCACATAAGACACCACGTCAGAGTTCACAGTTCCGATGGGATCAGTCACACTGTCCAAACGTGAGAGCATAGCGAAAATTCTCGGTTGTTGCGCCAGATTTTGCAAAAGTTTTATCGCACTCGTCTGAACCTCGTGGGCTGGTGCGTAAATCAGGTCAATAACGCATCGTAAATACCGAGGATCCGACGTAAAAATGCTGAGATACGTGGCGTGATCAAGTTCGAGAAGCTGATTCGTCAACCACAGCAAACTAGACAGGAACGATCGGACTAGAGAGTGCTGCATCTGTAGCGTAGACGTCTTTGAAGCCAATAGCATCATATCTAAAACCTCCGTGTCACCTTGACATTCCGCATACCATTTCACTGCCGGTGGGGTACTCGACGAAAGGAGTTTAAGAACATCAATTCCAAAGATCAGCACCAGTTCGGCTTCCGTGGAAGGATCTAGAATCGTGATCTTATTCCCTGCAGCCAGCGTAAATTTCACTGGAAGTAATTGAAGATGAACTGAGCTCCAAAACACTCTAAAGACGTCACTAGGTTTGCCTTGGGGGTTATTCATGCAGTCAAGACCAAAACATTTCGCCATCACGACAATGTTTTCTGGGATGTGTTGGCACATTTCTTTCAGTAGCAAATACTCGCGTCCCATTGTGGCAGGCGCATCTATGCCGTTCCTTATGACAATTTCAACAATAGTTTTCGTATCGATCACATTTAGTACGCTGGGGTCCCATTTTCCAACCGCAATCACGAAATCAAGAAAGCACCTTCGCCTTTCAAAAGCCACCGTGGAATATCTAACATCACTCTCACTGTTCCAACTCGTAAAAACATAGGGAATTCTAGATGCAACAGTATCTTTCACCTCGGAGATACTCGCTCGGTTTTGTTCATTATCCTCTTCCAGTTCAGCAATCGCCAAATTCCATAGTTTTCGTAAGAAAAGCCACAGATGAGAGGATCCGTTGAAGCTGTAATCGTTTGACTCGTGTGTTGATCGGTCGGACGCACTAAACACGTATTGAAGACTGCGTGGTCTTAAATATGTCCGGTGCACGTGATTGTACGTTTGAATTACATCCGAGTCACTGTAACTGAGATCGTGGCCATGGTTGTTTATCAAATTTTCATCAGTTCCACTGGAAGGGAGATGAAGAGAAATCAACACGCACAGAAGCTCACGACCGGAAGTTGTTTCTTCTAGGTGCTTGCAGGTGTAGGCAAGTTCGTCGTTCAACAATTGCGCCGTGTATTCGCGAAAGGCACCAAAACTCGACTGTCGCAGCTTTTGAAGCATCAATTTAATTGAGTTATGCAAGTAGGCGGTTAAACGCTTGGACGATGAATGGTTAAGCTCTTCCGTTGACTTGGTCGGACTCCAAATTACTGAACGAAAGCGGCTTTTATCCCGCAAAGTCACCCGGTAATAAAGGAGGTTAGCAAGTACATCCCCGGCAAGAACCCCAACCTCTTGCGAATACATCTTGTGAGATACCAGTAGATGAACAAGGACAGACAATAATCCTTCATCTATACTTCGGCCTTGAAGTCCTGGTGTCAATAGTCTTTGATTTCTGGCAAGAATTATCCTGTTTGCCAGTACCAGCGGGTCACGCTCTGGATTCGACAGTTGATCGTCGTTATCTTTCGAAGCATGAATTACCAGGGCCATTTTCTCCTGGAAGAACGCATCCCGTACAAATACCGGTAACTCCGCGAGTCTTGCCAATGTAAAAGCCGAAGTTCGGCGGATTGCAACAATTGATTGATCTCTTAACGGCATACAAAATGTGTGGTTAGTAGCATCGCATTGCGAATAAATCATCTATCTCAAACGTACGTAGGTGTGAGGTACGAGAAAAGTGTGGATATGAACGGTCTATCCATCATGAGCCGCTGGGCCACTTCTGCTTAAAGGAAATAACGAACAGAAAAATGTGTAAGAGTGTGTGGATATCCAGGACCCTTGCCGCCAGTACGAACCTTTAGTAGCACTCAAATGGCCCAGTAATTGAATCGTATGAGCAACGGATTCTTGCCGTTGTTTCGTCACCTCATTTCGTTCCACGTCAAATTCTTGGAATTCAGGAAGCATTGCGATTTTGACTAAGGCTGGCATCCAGAACCAGTCTGACTTGATAGACCCCCGCAGCATTTGTACACGACATTGATAATTAGCCGCAAGAACTTCAAGTACCTGGATCGTTAGACTCAAAATGCTGTCGGCCGGGTCTCCTTTTGCTGATAGCAGAAAGCTAAGATCATATGTTGGACACATGACACGACGTGCAGCTGAGAACCGAAGGATATTGGTCCCATAGCGTGCCTAACAATAACAAACCCATAGTGTTAATAAGCCTCGTCTGTTGAGGTAAATTACGAGCAGAGTGTACCTTTGCGATGATATCACACGGATCGCAGTTAGAACATCCGTCACTCTCGCAAAGACAGCCGTATCTCTCCTCAGCACTAAACTCTGGACCAGTAACAAGCAACAACAGCAATCGTAGAAACTGATTCGCCTAGTGTTAGCGTCATGATCACTAGAGACGTAAGTCAGCGACGTACCAGCTCATAGATATCTTCGGTGAAGTGGGAAGCGAAGACCGTCTTAGACGTCGTTATTTTCAGCAGATATGTAGTAGAACCTTCATCCGGCATTTCTTCAGGCTGCTGAATCCCACTCGCACGATCTTCGTGGTAGCAACCTGGTACTGGTAATGTACGTTTCGAGTTGTCAATGTCTAGGCTGTGCTCTGAAAATTCACCTAACAGACTGGCGACCTTAGGGATACAGCCTGATTCGAATCCACTTAGGTAGTGTCGGATACCAGAGTGCTTAGAAGCAGCTAATATGAGAATGTTGGCGACATTCCGCAACTCGCTCAGCGTTAGTCGCTGTGAGAGAAGTTCGGTTACTACATCCAGTCGGCTTTTCCGGTCGAAATACTCGGCATGATCATCTTGTGACACGATCTGGAGTAAGAAATTAAACAGCTACATAAACACAACAACGTCATTAGAAATAGAAGCCTGATGTAAGACCATAGTTGTTGCTGTCCCTACCACAGGACGAAGGAATGTGTCGTTGCTGTGTGTCTTCAACATATGGCAAATCACATGCGCTAGCTTATCACCGCCGGTACGAGCTACGAGATTCAGTTTGAGAACTAGTCGCACAAGTAGCTGGAGAACACCCCCAGCCGACGAATTCCGAGCTACTTCCTTCGAAACAGAATCGAACAGTTCCATTAACAAACCGTTGTTGTCCGCTACAAAAGCTTCAGCAAAACCATCGAGAAACGTTTGATCCTCCAGACGAAAGACTGCCTCAACCAACAACAGTATTGCCTGTAAACAGAAAAGAATTTTCACATCAATAAACCATTATTCTTGTACTAACAATGCTCAATAGGCAACCTTTCGTTTCACTTCAAAAGCAGGACTGTGGAGACATGACACGATCCGCTGTCGAAGTGGAAAGAGCTTCGATTGAAGAGTTGACAAGTTTTTTTGGTCAGCAAATGCCAACTTGATGCATGAAAAAGCAGCAACTTGAAGGGGCGGGAATTCATCGAAGAAGTTAGCGATCACCTTGTCTAGAACGTCATTGCCGAGTAATTTACCGCATTGTGGAGGATGCGTTTGGAGATGAATACTGCAGCACATAACAGCGTATTGAGCCACCAGTTTATTCGGGTAATCGAGGAGTGGGAGCATCGTCGTTTTCGTTCTTGCAGCTTCATCCAGAACAGACTCTGGACTAATCCGCTGCATTGCCTCGAGGACGTTCACAGCAGAACGGCAGAGTTGTAACAACTCTCGCTCATGCGGATTCTCAATCGCATACGAGTAAAACAGCATCGGACCGAACCTCTCGTCCTCAGTCGTCTCCATAGACTTGTCTTCTCCTTTTGGCCCGAATGATCCGTGAGTGTACCCAGCGCGAAGTAGCCGCAGAATAGATTCCATTGTTTTCAATACGAACGGGTATCCATAGTTCGTAAGGAAGAAATGGCTGTAGACAGGATTGGCAATCATTGAAGCCATGGCGCCGCAATCATTCTCAATAGATCGGTTAGCCGTCATTTTTGACACCAAATTGTCCACCAACACAGCGAATCCGATCTTCTTTGCGAAATAGCTCCCTGTTGCCACCGCGTCATCCACTTCAAACAGAAGCAACGGTATGTTTGACTTCTCGTAGGCGTCAACAAGACCCCATAAAATTCCAGTTGCCAATTCCTGTAATGAAAACGACAGCCATCAAGCACCTCGCTCACAACTCAAAGGCACTATCTGCTCGTACCTGATGCAATTTGTCCTTGGCTAGAATCAGGAGTTTTCGGAGGAAAGGGGGCTCTGTCAAATCTGAAATCCCCCATTTCATAATGTCTGGCCGTGTAGCCCAGATGAGATTCCTCAGTGACAGTAAATACAACGTAATGTGGGGAGATGCACTATGAACGCGCTCCCGAACAAACCGCTAACATAACAAACACAATTCAGTTAGTCTTCGCTAGTCACAGCAGGTTAGCCCGTTTGCTTACCACAAGCAGAAAAATGATCTCCCTTATTTCGTCACTGCTTCCAATTGACACGATATTCCTTGTCATTGAGGACAAAACAATCAGCAACTTTAAATGGTTAGCGAGCTTGTCGGCCATAGCTCGATTAAGATCATTCCGCTCATTCAACTCCCAGAAAACCTCAACCGGTGACGAGCCCGCTGTCGTTGCATCATCTTGATCCAGTTCTTTCTGTTGAGCTTGACTCTGTTTTGCACGGTTGAGATCCTTGTACCGCATAAGAATCGAATAAGCATCCGGTTGGTTTGCAACGAACTGGATAATATCTGAGTTCTCAGAATTACTTGAGCGCTTGGGAGAAAGTATCAGACGAGAGCTGGATGCTAAGACGGTAGTTAGAAGGTTGCACAACTTTTTCAGCCGATATTCAGCTATGACACGTCTTGATTGCAGCCCTTGAAAGAGGAATACAGTGTACGCACGGGCCGCGGATATGGAGACTACTACACTCTCGTTCTCCATTAAAGAAAGCAAACCATCATCCACCTCGAGTTGTGCTAAGTCGCCAGCAATTTCCGAACTTGTTAGCATCCACCCGAGGTTGAGTAAGGCTGGTATTTGACAAAAGGGTTGGAGAACCGAGTTCCAAGTCAGTGAACATAACGACACCAGTGTCTGCAGTAATGACTTCGTTTGAGATCGCGAGACGGGGGACAGCTGGCTCGATCCACCAACGAAATTCATGTGTTCTTCATGGAGTAACGACAAAATAGTTGACGAGCTTGCAGATTGTTTGGAACGCTCCGCATTAAACAGGACGTCATTCATATACCGGTTCATATCTGAACAAGAAGATTCGCCACAAATACTTTCCAGAAGCTGATAAAACGATTCCAGAAAGATTTCCATCGAGATTGACCATACTTTCTTGTCAATCGCCAGTCGAAATGTTAGGCTGAGTACGCGTAGAGCCCCTGTATGCAGCGAAGTACTAGTACAGTCTTGCTGACATAATAATTCGATTAGTGGTGCTGTGAGCTCAGACAACGCACGAAGATACTGATGCGAGCTTGTCAAGCGCTCCATAAACTCACACAGACTGGACACAATCAGTTTCTGCAATTCATCCATTGATGGTATCCAACGAGATGGGTGAGCGCTCCACAGTAGAAATGACACGCAATCGCGTGGGCCGTGCATTTCGAGTTGAGCCCACGTCACCCCAAAACCTGTCAACATCAGCCTCACAAACAGCTTCATCAGACCGACAAAAGCCTCCACAAACTCCACTAAACGTCTATCGCATCCGCACGGATATTTTTCCACTTCTGGCTTTAGAATGGCAGTCGAAGCGAAAAAGTGTGCGTGCACTTGTTTGAGAAGAAATGCTGACTCTGCTGGATGTGTTGTCCAAGCTCCGTTTTCGATGTAATATTCGAACCAATCGTGCCAGTGAAAGAGCAATCCAGCCTTCGTAGCGCTCATTTCATGGGTCATTAGAAGACAAAGAATTACTGTCTCTACGGCCTCCTTGTATGCAGGAATGCCCTGCAGCTTTGCGGTACAATCCTTTAAAATTTCCAGGCCACTTTGAGTCGTAAATTGTTTCTATACACGGTAGAAGTTAGACAAATCTGTGAGTACCAAAAGCAACACAAAGATCATCCCAAACGTATAGTCATACCTGGTTTTCTGTCATTCGAGGGGCAAAGTAATCAGATATTGATCCTTTCGGCTCCTGAGTACTTGAGCATATCGCCATTAGCACGCCAATCACTTCGTCAACTACATCCGACATGTCTGGGAAATTATCCATTATCTGGACAATAATGTTAATGTTCGTCTTCGTAATACTTTGCGGCACACAGGGGATTATAGCGATAGTTCGTTTCATCGCTCGAAGTAAATATCCACGCAAAGATGCCGTATCATCACGTTTCTTCTCGTAAATGTAGTCAAAGAAGGGCTTCCCGTACTTCGTTGTGGTCCATGGATCGCCCAATCCTCGCAGGAACAAATTCAAAAATCTTAGTCCATCAGCTTCACAGAACGCAATAGCCTCTTCTTCTTGTGCAGACTTGAGAAAGCGATCTATTCCTATGATTGCGCTCGGAAGCCCCCAGCATCCAGAAGATCCACTAATATATCCATGGTTCTCAACAGAAGTGTCTGTATGGACTCGAAACGCCACACGGACGGCCTGATCAACTGGTGTGTAGCAATATCCAAACGAAATTGACGTTGCCCCCGAGTATTCTCGCAGAACTGTGCTCAGCGAAGTCATCGAGTTAATGCGTGGAAGCAGCTCCGCGTGAATAATATTTATGCCCACTCCAATCGCAACATTTTCAGGTACCTCCAGTGAGTCACCACAAATGAGTACAAACGCATGTTGCGCTTCTTTTCTTGCCGTTCTATCTCGGTCTTCCCATCGCATATCGTTGCCGGCGCTTGGAAATAGTTTCGTTCGAACGAAAACATACTCAACAGCAATTTCTTTTGTTCCATGAAAACAATACCTGCGCAGAAACTGTCAGTAGTAACGATAGCTGCTGCAATCTGTGAGGAAACTGCGTACCTTGAAACTGTTCCTTTGCGTAGCTCCTGGTGCTCCCATCGAGCCTTTAACAGTAAACTCGAGTCATTTGCCATTAGGTTGCACTGATAATGGGTTAAAGCTGATTCCCTCCCATTCACATAGAGTCTTCCAAGACCAGCGCTGCTTCGGGATGCATTTATTTTGTCCACATCGATAATCTTCAATCCCACCGATTGCAGATACGAATCGCAACTTGCCGAATCAGTTTCAGGCTGCTCCAGATACTGACGAAGAAGTCGCAAGTATTCCAATACAGAGGTATGGTGCGCACCACGAACACCGGACGTTGGTAGAATTCCGAATAAGCTTTGGGCTAGCTGCTCCTTCTTTCGACTCAGGTATCCGACGAGTGCAGGAAAGAATGCAGATCCTACAAGGTCTCCACAGTACAGTTTGCTGTCTTGCAGGAAGGTTCTTGTAAGCTCGTTCAAGCGTCTCACCATAGAAGTATCGTCGATATCGTTAGAGCAGAACTCTAATCTTTTCCACACGTCGAAGCTGACCGAGGTTAATTTCTGGATTGTTGCTTGAACGCGATCTCGACGCAAATAATGAGCTTCCAATTGTATCAAAGGTTTCTGCTCTGAATTTCTCCTTGATTGCAGAAATCCATACATTAACACGTATGTTATCTCCATGCCATCTGCTAACCAGCTTTCCAACTGCACTGTGGGATCGTCTGAGCTGGCCAACGCGAATAGTTGATGATCTCTATCTGATAAACGAAGAAACGCCAATCTCCTACTATCACTTGCTGGTATGAACTGCAGAGGATGCTTCTCTTCAAAATAACTCGCTCGTAGTTTGGTAGGTGATATCCAGCCTCTCATTCCAGCGAAAATGTTCAACGCAAACTCAAAGCGTTGGATATCTTCAGGATCGACTGAGTTCTCCTTATCCACTGGGAATATTTTCAGCAAATACTGCTTTAACTGTCCATCGACTCCACCCCGAACATGGATGCACCGCATACCAAGCTCGGTATCCAATCCTAGCAATACTCCGTTTAGTTTCAATGCACGGTAATCAACTCCGTAGTACGAAAGCGCCTCATCAAGTTGACGCGCATCGACACCTTCAAGCCCTGTACGAATAATCCTTAATAAAGACCGGAGAAACTCCTCGAGTTCCGCGTCAGTAATCACTTCTTGCTCTTCCGGGTCTTCGCACTCCCAACTTTTCTCTGCTAATTTGGCAGCTGTGAGCCCCTTAAAGCGCCGAGATCGACGCAAATGCCCTGGTGTCTGGTAGACTGATTTCCCTGGAGAACTGGGTTTCTTGGGTGCTAGATCGGCAATAGTAGCGTCACTACTATCAACTTGATGCGGTGTAATATTCTCACGAGCTTGCCGCTGTATACTCGGCGAGGACTGAATAAATTCTGTCTCTTCTTGTACTGCAGGCGACGTCTCCGGAATGAAAGAAGCAGCAAGTTTCTCCTCGACTGGTATGACTAGAGCACCACTACCAGCACTAGCCACCCGAACGGATGTCCTGTGACCTTGGAGTTCACTCATTTGCTTGTCAGTTGTGTCTTGTCCTGCCATCTTCGAATGGCTGGGCTTCAATCTCTCCGGTAAGTTAGCACTGCTAGCTCGTTTGTTGTCAAGAATGCGTTTCTCTCTCGTCGATTCCATAGGCTTCGTTGGAGTTTGCAAAGGCACAGCGTCCGTCTCAATCTGCTTTCGTTCTTCTCTCACAGGAGTGAACACGCCATGTCGCTCTCGTCCGGTTTTCACCCCATCAGGTGAACCTCGGTCTCCTTTCACAGCCGACACAAGACTCAATTCACTCGACACAACAGCAGATGCAGGAGCAATAACAGTCGCTGTTGCTCGATTAGCACCCCCAGCCACCGTTCGCGGTCGCAGTTGTTTCTCTTCTTGCTGCTGCTGTATGTGAGCCGTCTCTGGTCGACGCTGCTCCTCTTTCCCGTCTCGTCTTCGGGTCGCAACAGCACTGACAAGAGGAATGGAAGTACCTCTGCCTGCTGCAGGTTCCTTTACTGGCAGCAGCACGAGGCAGATGAAAGGCAAATTTCTAGCATAAATATCGCTCTCATCAGCCACGGCAACTGTTGCGTTGGTCGTCGGGTGGACGAACGCGAACTCACGTCTGGGCGGAAGCGCGATGAACTGGCCAATGAGTGCGCGTACTGAGGCTAACGACGCTGAGGATACAAGATCGAGGCTGCCTAGATCCTCCAGGACGTCGCTCTCCTTACTCTCACTACGGCGAACGACGCGGCGCTTGAGCCACTGGAAAGAGGCTGTAGCCCTTTGCGCCTTGTTTATCGAGACGGGGGGCGACAATGGAGGCGGAGACAGCGCAGCTGAAGCTGAAGCTGAAGCTGAAGGCGACGGAGAGGACGCTCGGGAGAGAACAGAGCCTCGAGCGAGGCTCTCCTGCCGAGCCTGTACATCCGCCAGCGCGGCCGCGACTTTGTCGCGTCTCCGCATCGGTATTGAAGTTGGAAGATAGGTCAAGGCAACGTAACGGGTTATGTTGCAGGATAGCTAGAGGGGCAACTTATCAGCTTCAACTTAGCTTGGATCGACTGGACACTAGCCACGCACCGCACGAACCAGAACAGCTACTACTGTGCAATTCTGGAGCAGCATAGTGAGCTGCGAGCGATTCATTCAGACGAAAGATGACAGCCAACTAAGTTGCCTGCCTTATCATTTTTATGGTTGTTGTGGGGCGAGATAGCACAGGCCGCGTGGCCCACGCGGTGTGGGCACTTGATTGTAGTTGTCCTAGCAGTCACATAGCGAGCTTGCTGGTGGATATTACTGAACATACATGAGGTAGTTTGGGCTTCACATCGTCCATTTGATCAGGAAAGAAGACAGCATGCAGTCACCACTGCAGAGGGCTTTCCACTTTTCTTGTTGGTTTCGACTGGAATCTGCGCCACACGAATGCGTACCACTACGAGTCGTAGTATACGACAACTGAGAAAGAGTAGTTCGAATATTCAGGTAAGCTACCTAGCGGCAGTCGCATATTAACTCCAGTTGATGGAGGCAAGTCGGCTCCGTCGACTTACTCATCGAGCAGCTCACTCTAGTAGCATCATCTTGTAGGAGGGCACTTCCCATCGGATTAGATGGAGTGAGGAACGGCATCAGGACTCCGACGACTCCTCCGGTGCTGCCCTCGGTGCCGCGTACAGATACCTTGCCAGCACGATTTGCGTCAGTGACGAAGGGGATGGACGAGATCTTCCACACGAAACGACGCGGCTGAAATGGAATGGCTGGAGGAGAATCAGTAGTACTTCGTGCCACGTTGTACGTGAAGGCTGCACTTCACAGCAACGCGTCTGCGCCTCACCTGCAGCTCTTCGAGTTGATGCATCAAGTTGGTGAAAAAGTCACACGATTCTGCGTTTCCACGCAGCGATGACGTGTGGAGCTCTCGCGGGGCCTTCTGGAACGCATGCTTGGAGGCCGGTAAGGGGTGTAATGTGATAGTTTATTGCATTTAGTGTTGGTAATTCCTAACCAATAAATAGCGCAATTCTAATTCGTAGGCAAAAATGACGAGGTACGATGAGATGGGTGCAACGCGATCATGTTGTCGCTCCGGTCCCTCTGATGCGAGGCGGCGACTTGTGTCTCAGAGCGGCTCGGCTGCAGCTTTAGCTGCAGACAGCGCTTATCGAGCTGGCAGAGACGTGAAGAGCGACACGCCGCTATGACGATGGGGCGGCGCTTCCTTACTTCTTGGACTTTTCCTTCTTGGCCGGGTAGTAGGCACGACGACGATAGGCCTCCACCGAGGAGCTTACGGGCAAGAGCGCGCGGTCCTCGTTGATGCGCGGCATGGGCCTCACCGTCTTCTTCCTGCGCTTGTGAGCGTCACGCGTGAAGGGAACGCGCTTGCCGCTGACGGTCACGCCACCGTGGCGCTCGCGTGTAAGGAAGTCACTAGGAATGGGCACGGGCGGTACAAAGGCCGCTTTCTTGCCCTGTTCATGGTTGTTATCATGCTTGAAGAGCCGTCGCAGTGAGAAGCGGTGCTTCTTGCTGCTGGTTTCGACCACCATAGGCTTGGTAATCTGTGTGGGTGACAGGACAGCGTCCGTCGGCTTGGGGCTTGTGCTGGCGCTCTCGCCGCTGTGGCGGAGCTTGTGGGTCCAGGCGCGAGCCTCCTGTAGCTGGTTGTCGGGCATAATGTCGTCGATGGGCATTGCAGGCTCGTGCTGTTTCCACGAGCTCTTCACAAGCAGCGCCGTCATTTCGAGAGGTGTGGTGGGGGCGTTAGAGCGAGTCGCTTCCAATTGTGAAATGAGATGCCTGCTGCTGGTTGGCCGAATGCCAAGCGACATTTTAGACCCGTCTCTGAGCCGTTGAAGCATGGATTCCTTCTGTCTCACTTTTATGGCCAAGACTCCTTTTTGAGTATTTTCTGTGCTGAATCAAATATTTGCCATAAGTATGGGGTAAATGTGGGAATTTACGCTTCGTATGGATTTTTGAGAGTGCAAGAATTCTCGAACGGATGATGCTACGCCGTCTAGTCTGGTAAACAGGGGGTGCCAGGCACATACACCTGTATGCGATAGCTAAACTAAACTTACTGAGAATTGTGATAGCAACACATTTCCAAACGAATTTGGAAATTTGTGTTTACAAAGTTGCACGCTTCATTGCGACTCGCAAGTGTCACTTGGAATGCTCCTAGTACAAACTCTAAGAAACGCTGTGTCCACTTTGCTGCCAAGGATAAAATCAATTCATTGGAAGCTTGCACATTGAAATGTACATCAGACATTAAAGTACTGTATTCCGTGATTCTACAAAATTCTTGTGTTCTAATGCCCATCTTCAAACTAAAATATCGGCCTTTTCGCTGTGTTTTCGTATGGCGATGTTTTCATGGCGTTGGTCTACCAAGGCAAACACATCTGCAGCCCAACACGTGGACGCTCATCTCGGGGCGATCGATGCCCGCAGTCATCGACTGCAAAGCCTCTCCATTATTTGCAGTGTGCCGTCGTTGTTGAGCCAAAAATTGCACTTGCCACGCGCTTCTTCCGTCCCAGAACGCATTACCTGGGCCCCAGTATGGCCAAGCAGACAGGGACCACGCCCTATCTCGCGAGAAAGCTTTGTCGTCGCCCCGGGCAATCTTCAAACGGTGTCAACGAGCGAATCTAGGCGCCACAACCCGGCGGCACCAGCCATCTGGGTCCTATGGACCCACCTGTCGGCGGCGAAGCCGTGACCAGGAGTGCAAAACGCTTTGCATTTAGCGTGACAAAATTCATCTAGGAGCGCATCGCAATGCTCGACGTGAAAGCGTGGCCCAGCCAGCCATTCGCTCAGCCCCGTCTGCAGGCTTAGAAACCAAGCGGCAAGCGTTTCTAATACGGTATCAACATTCATGGTATTTTTGGTTGGTACTTACCTTGCTCGCTACCTCGCCGCAGAATTCGCTCACGTCCGCATATTGTGGGCCTAACGTCGAGCGGGTGTTTGAAAGCAGTTGGCACCGCATGGACAGCCTCGAATAACTCACTTTGTTCCGACCTGCCCTAGTTCATCTTGAAGTGGCCGCCACGCCATCTCCCCCACCCACTCCACCCCGCCTCAGCCTGAGCCTGAGCCGGCCTTCTTACTTTGATATCGGCGGGTGTGCGGCAAAATACGTTCACCCTGCATTTCGCACGTTGAACTGAACGAGTGTGTCTGCTGCTCTCTGCTCTGGAAAACTACTTCAAGTAGATCGGTTACGAGATCGCCCACAGCTACATGTTGTTCCTGGAATTTAGTACATGTGTCGAAACTCTGTTGCTGACACAATCATAAGAGCTCACGACAATTCTCATTCACCGCATTACTAGCTTCTAGTAACTATAGTCTAGTTCGTCGTGCTTCGTTCATGTTTCGGGGAGACTGATGCCAAGACTGGCTGCCATGAGGTAGCATTGGAGCCTTTAATCCGAATATGCAGCTGGATTGTGTTAAACTTGGATTCAATATTGGTGCGCAAATGTATCGCTATCCCTGTGAATAAACTTTGCATCAACTGACAAAAACTCCTTCGTGTCGAGGCCGAAGGTCTCGACCTTTAGAAATGGCTTCGGATCAGGACGCCGCAGACGGCGCGAACGGTGTGTCGCTGCGAGGGATTCGCGATCTGCACCCAAAATTTATCTTTCGAGGCTTTTTGAGCGAGATTCGGATCATTCGGACAAGCAGCGTCTTGTTTGTTTTCCACTTGAGATGTGACTCCGCCCCTGTCTGCCGAGTCTGGTTGGTCATCAACGAAACTCGCTTGAAGCCTTGAGGCTCAGCTTGAGCATCAAGGCTAATTGCCGAGAGCAATGCCAGGTCTGCTGCTGACTGTGCTTGCAGAGGTGGTGCTATGTTTGCTGAAGGCTACAGCCTGTAGCGGCGAATTCGCTAGTTAACTTTCCAATTTACTTTATTCGACCACGTGATGCTAACCTACTACCACCTTCGCTCGCTGATGGTATTTAACTTGGTTGATACCAAAACTACGAAGCAGAAGCTGTGCCGAGCCTTTTGGTCGCAACGTGGATGTCGAACTTGACAGCAATGTCATTTAGAAATGGCTACATATTTGACTTTTGTTTCTATTGGATCGAGTTCGAGATGTGTCCACTAAATTTACTGCTGCAGTTCAACGCGTTCCACAGCTCTCTAATCCCGCGTCCATCGGAAGGCAAAGCTAGCTTCTACGGTGGCTGATTCGCAGCACTGGGATCTCTTGCCGGATCATTACTCTCGTCGTTGCCCAAAAAGATCGTATCGCAATGTCCGCATCAATATGGTGTTCTCCACACAGCTGTACTTTGCCAATCAGGTTGCCCACCTGGTTTTCCCGCCTCTCCTTACGAAGGAAGGTCGTTTATGCCGCCCAAGAAGGCGCTGCGTCCGCTGCCGTCGTCCGAGCTGCACGAGCCGTACGAGAGATACCTGTACGGGGACCTGCGTCACGAGCTGTCCGTGCGCCACATCCGCATTCCCCGCTCCGGCCATTGCCTCAACACCCGCGTGGGCTTCATTCAGCTTCTGCGCGACTGGGACGAGGCGCAGACGCAGACCCCTGAGACTCCAAGGCGGACGTCGCCTCGACGGACTCAGAATAAGAATCAGACTCAGATGACCTCCACTCGTGTCATCCGTGCGCGTCGCGGCTGCCGCTTCCGCCTCATCAACGTGCTGCTGAGTCCGGACTTTAACCGGCGCTGGAACGAAATGGTCACGCGCGGCGGTAAAATGGAGGTAAACCGTCTGTGGTTGGACGTCCACGCCGCCTTCATGGCGCAGAACTCGGTGCTGGACGCGCTGCACTTCCAGGACGCGCTCTTTGTCAACGTCACGCCCAACGTGATCCTCGGGCACTCGGCCGCGCGTCTGCTGCAGATGTGGATCGAGATCGTCGCCATGTACCGCAACGCCGTGGCGCAGGCCAAAGAGGCGGCATCACACAACGACAATGTGCACTCGTTCTTCGACTTTTGCGCCGGCAGACTGGACCTATTGTACCTGCACATGGCGATGCTGCTCGAGCCCAAGCTCTACGAGTTCGTCATGGGTGGCAAACTCTCGGCTGCTGAGCCTTTTAGCAAGAGCAAAACGAAGACCAAAACTGTGGCGGCTGTAGAGTCTGTGCCAGCTACTGCTGCTGAGAGTAAACCAGGTGCAGCGATCAAGGCGACAGCAGCGAAAGCCAAAGCTGCGACTCCTGTTCAGGCCATAGCGGAGACCATAGCTCCAACACCTACCTCAACGAAAGTAGCGGTAACGACTCCTCCGAATGAGTCCAAACTATCGGGACTGCTTACACAGAATCCAGAGATGAAAGAACCTCTCTCGCCCGCCATCGCCAAGAGCCCAGCGACGACGAAAACGGCTGCAGTAAAAGCCAACAAGTCGAGTATTAAACCCAAAGCTAAGCAAGCAAAGCCAGCGGCCTCGCCTCTGAAGCCAGCCGCTCAGAAGAAGGATCACAAAGCTGGCGGCAAAGGCAAGGCACCGGCCACTGCTGCTTCGTTTGCTAAAGAAACCAAACCAAAGGCGCCGGCCTCTGCTGCCACGGCGAAAGACACAAAGCCAAAGGCGATGGTCTCTGTTGCCTCCGCTAAAGAAACCAAGCCAAAGGCGTCGCCGTCCAAGCAGAAGCAGCCAGCTTCGCCCGCTAAGCCGAAAGTAGCCAGCAAACCTGTCATCAAAAAGTCTTCGGGTGGTGATAAACCTGCCCACACGACAGCACATGGGAAGCGGCCACGTGAAGAGGAGGACACGTCGATTGTTGAGGTTCCGACCGTGAGCGACATCGTTCCTCACTCTGGTAATAAACGAGTCCACACGACGACAACAACAATCTCTACAGCTCTAGCAACACGGTCGACAGACATGATGCTGCCTCCAGATGAGTGGGATATCCTGGAGAGCCGACTGCGAAAGGTGAATGAGAACATCGATCGCTGCCACTGTGGACTGTCAAGTGTCGAGGGGAACGTCAGTGATAGCTACAAGCAATCGTTGGAGGCCGATCTACGGTTCTACTCCGCTATCAAGCAGCGACTGCAGGAACAGCTACTAGTGGTGATGCAGAGCGGCTACTAGTGTGTCTACCACCGAAGCAGGCTAACTTATCTGGGTCCGCGGGTATCCGCGTGAAGTACGTTTCGAATTGTATACCATTTTTTCACAAAGGTTTGTGTCCTTGTTTGTCTTGTCGAATTGAAACATATCTGATGATTACCATCCAGGCGTGTGGTAAGTTGTGTGTTGTGACTTCAGCGACGACTTCGGTACCATTCTTTGGCGGTGCGTTCCTCAGTTTTAATCACCAGCAAGGAACCGGAAGCAAGTCGACGGCTAGTGTGAAGCTTTAAACTTATCCTGTTCGGACCCCTTGCCACGGGGTCAACGGCTATGACGAGGACGCTTCTCCTCCTGCATCGAGCGGAGTCCAAGCTTTCTTTGGTGTCCGATTCAAGGGTTGTTAAAAGTGCACTATTTCAAGAGCTCAGGCGTTTTCAAAACTTTGTGATAAGATGCCGCGCACCAGTCTTCCATCCAGCTTTGGCTGCCCAGAATGGAGGCATATCAGCGTAATGTTGCAAGTATCCTCGGGTGGAAGCGCTCAACGTCTCGAGCCTAACCAGTGACTCACTCACGGATTTGTCGACTACAACTCAACCGCTTCAACAGTCTCAACGCTCCTTTCGACCCCTTCAGCTTGCAGCAAACCAACCAGCTCTTCTTCCACCTTCAGATCGTTTTCAGCGCGGGACCAGGCACCCCGTTGCGAATTAACGTCTCCGAGCACACAAACCACCCCACCTACCTCCTCTTTACCCGCAAGTATGGCTAGCTCGGCGATGGCAAACGGTCTCGAAGAGGCGATCGAGTTCCTTCCCGGTCGCTTGTTCTACGTGCCGCTGAAGAAGGCGCCGCCTCGTATTCCCGGCACACACTTCTTCTCCATCGACGATGAGCTCATGTACTGGAATTTCTACCTCGACTTTGGCCCGCTCAACCTCGGACACACGTTCGTGTTCTCCGAGACGCTCAACAAGAAGCTGGCGGCCGCGGCCAAGGCCAATGAGGTCGTGTACTTTTACTCGTCGACTAACGGACAGCGTCGTGCCAATGCCGTCTGCATCTTGGGCTGCTGGGCCGTGCTGTTCCAGAATATGAGTGCGGAGAAGGCCTACGCTCCCTTCCAGCGCATGCGCTTCCCTCCGTTCCACGACGCCACTCCGTCGGTCTGCACGTTCAACTTGACCATCCTCGACTGCCTCAAGGGCCTCGAACGCGCGATTAACAGCGGCTACATCTCCACCAAGACCTTCGATCTTCACGAGTTCCAACACTATGAACGTGTCGAGAACGGTGACCTCACGTGGGTGTCGCCCAAGTTCATCGCCTTCGCTGGCCCGCACAACGTGTATCAACGCACACCTCAGGGCCATGTCATGCTCACACCGGAACACTACATCCCGTACTTCAAGAAGCGCAACGTGACGCTGGTAGTGCGTCTCAATGACAAGCAGTACGACGAGAAGAAGTTCCTGTCGGCAGGCATCGACCACATCGACTTGATCTACCCGGACGGCACGAACGCGCCCATGCCGATCTTGATGAAGTTCATTGAAGCTTGTGAGAAGACTCCTGGAGCTGTTGCAGTGCACTGCAAGGCTGGTCTTGGACGCACTGGTACCTGCATCGGCGCCTACATGATGAAGCACCACTTGTTCTCGGCTCACGAGCTCATCGGATGGCTACGTCTGTGCCGTCCGGGCAGTGTCATTGGTCCGCAGCAGCAGTTCATGGAGGCTATTGAGAGCAGGATGCACCAGCTCAATCCGTCCAAGAGTGGAAGCTTCAAGGGCGAAATGGTGCCGATCCTATCGTCCAATGGACCTGCGAGCCCCAGTCGCGGAGGCAACATCCGCACTACGATGGTTTCTACTCGCAGCGCTGGAGCGAGCATCATCACGAACCGGATCATCTCGAACCCGCAGATTGGCCTCGATGTGAATCAGGGCGACAAGCTCAACGACCAAAAGTACATGCGCTACCGGAATTCCCCCAAGTCTAGCACTCCTAGCGGTGGTAAAATGTTCTGGTAAACTAGTATGCAACAGATTTCTGAGCTAGATAAGATGCACGACGAGACCGAGTCTTTATTACCTGCAATAAAACGATCATTAACTAGTCTTCTTACGTTCCATCGTCTGCTCTTTCGTCCCTCTGCAACGTTATGCAGACGGTTAGACGTCTTCGCACCATTTGTTCTCCTCGAGGATCCTCTGCTGCTCCTCCTCCGTAAACTCCTCCGTGATACCGAACGTGGCACGGATATCCTCAGGTGTTTTGCCCTTGATCATGCAGGCTACCTTGGCACACGACAAGTCCAGCAATGACTTGATGTCCATGTAGTTGGCAGCCAGGATAAGCTCGAACAGTAGCTCGTGATCCGTCACCTCCACAAACTTGGCATCC